GTTATCGAGTATCATCATCGTTTAAAGAGAAATCAAACGTTAAGTTAGATATTGAAATATTTTAGGTTTCATCTTTCGCAATTGTAATTAAATCTAACTTACAAAAAATTTATTTCACAATCTCATTATAATTTATAAAACAGAGAGCGTGGTGCGAAGTGATGTTCCAAAAACGAAAATTAATAGCAGAATTTTATTTTTCATTGAATTAGGAGAAACTTTTTCGCGAACAAAATTTAATTTGATAACTCTAATGTTCAATATTACAAGCTAGGAAATACTAGGAGGACGAACCTCGAATTAAATTTTTTTTCTACACAAGTGCAATCTTTTCTTCCGTGACAAATAAGTGCTGTTTCGATATTTTTTTAATATATGTATTTAATTACAGAAATTGTTTCAGCTTTAGCTTTTTCCGTTTCCGAGAGAACTCATAATTACGATGACGGTAAAAAAGAAGGTAGAAAAGAAAAGTTGTTAACGACGCTATTTTTATTTTCGCGTATATCACGTTCAGTTGTTTCGAACTGTCGTTTAGCGTTTAGCGGAGACACTTTATAAATATAATGCGAGTGCTGTGGGCATTCGGTATTTAACATACACGGTCCTAACAACATACAAAACAGAAAGTAGTGTGTAAAGTTGATGTTAATCACATGTTACGTAGCGTAGCGTGACGTGTGCGTTGAAGTATCGCGCGCAAGTATCGCGTTAGTATTACTGTCATTAGACGTGATAAAATAGAAAAAAGAAATTATACAGACCTAGTGAAATATGGAATTTATGTATTTACGGAGTTTAAGTGAAGTGTATCACGAGCGGACTTTGTGTATTACGAGCGAACGTCGTTCCCTCGCACTTAGCGTTAAAAATGAAGTGGAGCAAAAATTAGAGAATATTATTTAATTATAATATAGAGAGCTATAGGGAAAAAGTATAGACTATCGCATAATTTTAATATTATAGCTCATCACGATTCACATATAAACTTATTATTATATAAAATCGTAAAATCTATTTAACGTATGTAACGGAAAGATTTGTTATATCGAAATTTTTCTATCGGTTTTGTAACATTTTTCTATCGGCGAGACTTTAAAACGTGCGAAAGGACTAACGTGCTCGCCATGGGACGGAAATGATATTTGCCAACAACAGTGGTACCTCTTTTTTTTATTTCTTTATTTTACCTTAATCGTGCGCACATACACAAAGTGAAAAAAAGCACACTCACATGCACACGAACATGTTATGTATATATTTTATAGGTACATTTTGTGGTTAAGTGTAAATATCATGAAGGGTCCTGTCATATGTATCATGTGTAATTTAATTCTAGATCAATCTAAAGTTAATGCGTAAAGCGAGTATATTGCTAATTTAATAAACGAACAGTCTTGCCTTCCGACTAACGGAAATGGAAAGTTTGTTATATCGGTCTATCGATGAATCGAGTAACGAATCAAGCTACATCGCTATTACCTCACATTATATATTATATATAAATATATATTATAAATGTTAGAGGATCAAGAAATATAAAATGTATCCGTTGTGAAGTATTCCCTGAGCACTAATTATTGCATCACCAGTATCTTTCCTTTCGACTTCATTTCGACTTATTGATTATGTTACCTTATCAACTCAAGATGTAGAGTCTTTCAAATGTTGCAATTTTAAAAAGTGAAGTTAATTACAAAAAAAAATTCGGTACGTTTGTTTTACTCCTGTGATATCTAATGAAGCAATTTTCGAAAAAAGATACCGAAAATATTTTGTCCAATATGAATAGTAGATAACGTCAAATGTCACAAAATTCACATGATGACATCACATTAATCGCCCGATAACAACTTAAGGCCGCAATAATCCTATTGCAAATGATTACGACGCGACAATAGTTCAGCAGACATGCACGTTCGAGATACGTGTACCGATTTAAGTGGATGAAAATCAATCCCTTCAATCGTTGCACGCTTGACCTCTTGCGACATTTCAACAACAAATTGATGCAACCTATAAATATTGTAAAAGTAGTTTTGCCGCCCGGTGCTCGACCAATCATTGCTTAATAACGTGCGAATTATTCCAACGTGTGACGTGCATGTACGAAATAAGAGGAGAGAAAAATTTGAAACTGCAATTTGATCGCAAACCATCGTAGAGTGTAGTGCTGTGAGTAAAAATTTAATTAGTTATCACTAAACCATGGTCAGATTACCTCTTAACATCGTTAATTAACAATCTCTATTCAAATTTTCCACAATATAGTAGTTTATATTGGCAGGTTTATTGAGTTTAAATACTGATGGAAAATCACTATTGCTACAATTATTTTTTAAACGAATAATATGTCGGCATGTAGCCATTTCTTTTTTTATTGTATAAAACCCTAGATGTAGCAGTTAAGGTATTACGGAATATCCTCAATATTAAAGTTTGGTCATTTAAAATATCTTCATGTTGAAAATACGGGAAGATGTATGCAAAAAGAAGTCATTACAGAAAGATAAAAATTATTATACCAATAGTCAATATATTATCATAAGCTATTTTATTTATTTTTTCATTATCATTAAATTATAGTCTATAACGATGTTAAAATTTATAATATTAATGTTATCCATTTAAATTCAATAAAAAGTTTGGAGAAAGAATTTTGATAATCATATCTTTTATCTCTTTGAAGCGTATAATTTTTTTCTCATACATTTTCCCGTATAATCAAAAGGCAATAATGATATTATAGATGTGATTATTTTTTAATAAGACTTCTTGCATAATTTTAGAGAGTACAATTTTCGGCAAAGCGTTTCGCCGATTTCCCGTGTAAAATGTTTCCTAGATATTTGCCCCAAACAAGTAATATCGACGACGGATTTTGACAATGCGAGCAGATTAGAATCCCATGACTTTCACGCCATTAGGAATGCGAAAGATCCTCTCTTTCGGCGGAAGCTCGCCGATTTTGTATCGCTCCAAAGTTACCCTGGCGATGGCGGAGTGTCCGGTGCCGATAAATGCCAAAGTCGCGTCTCGTCCGGCGTATTCTAAGAGGATATCCTGACCACCTGGATGATTCTTCAGGAATTCTGTGCAGTCGTACACGTAATCGTAGATTACGAGCCAACAGTCGTCGAGCGTGTCGTGCCTGGCGACCTCGTCCAAAGTGATAGTACGGAGCTCGTCATGCGATTTTTCCCTCAGCTTGCATCTTCGCTCTCTAATGGCGTCGTTTCTCGTTTCCGTGACGTCGTCACGACGCTCGACCTGCAGAAAGTTCTCCCTCGATGGTTTTACGTCTCCCAATTCGAGGGAGCGAAGAGCCAGGCTCAAAAGGTCCATGCTACGGGTTCTGGAAGCGCTCGTTCTGCAACACAAATAGATTTTGCTTCTCAAATAAATCTACCTAATTGTGAATTAATTTAATGGCATTCTTGCTTTACACATACGAAATAATTTTTTTTTATAAACTGAATTTTTTTAGATTATAAAATAATACAAAGTATAATGCAAATATATTATAATAAAAGATTATATGTAATTAAATTTTGAGAAGTCATTACTATCTTAAATTAAAATTTTCAATTTTTGAAAATTAAGTAAAAATTAAATAAATCACAATATTATGCGAACTAATATCTCGACAGGACAAGACCATGTTTAAGTAAAATATTTATTTTCCTTTGTTTCGCACTCTTCTGATAATTTGTAAATACTACGTGATTGCTTCTGTTCACATTCACACATCCGAAAATATAATAAACGATTATTGATTGCATTTCAATCGACAGAGTGTGATTCGGCGCTGTAATAAAGCAATATTTGCAGTAGCGGAAAACTGTGAACAACTGCACTATTGAGAGTACGTTATTTTGTTAAAAATGACCAGCGACAACTGAAAAATACGAGCGCAGGAGCACCGGAAGTATTATATCAAACGCCGGAAGTGAACGGGAGGTGCACATATATATCGATAAACTCGTGAACACGATTTATGGCAATCGTTTAAACAATCCCACACTCGGTACACTCGGAGAACGGGCTTTCACGTTAAATTCACCTACAGTAACGAGCGTTCCTGTCGACGTTGTCTGTCAAGAGACATCGCTGCACCGAGTACCGTAGACTGAAATCAATTTGCCCGAGAAAGGAGAGTAATACTATTATATATATATACCGGTTGAAACCTGATGCGTGCACGCACGAGGTGTCTTCTTGGTCACGCGGTACGTCTCTCGGCCACGCATAATCCGCACGTGGCTCGTTTTCTCTCCTCTGATTGGGAAAACTTTTTATCCCACGTCTGTCTCTGATTGAAGATAAGAAGCGTAGATAGACAGTAGTAAACACAGAAGTTGAAATGAAACTCCAAGAATTCTAAACTGTTGGAAAAAACGCGCGGCGTACTGCAATCGTGAATCTTGCCGGCTCGTAAAATCGCTACTCCGACTCTCTCTTCCCGACGAATCGTGAAGTTTAATAATCTCTCGTAGAAATTCCAAACAGCCCGATAACTTGCTCGCATTATCCGTGCAATTCGAAGAGAGAAAGAAACGTTTGGCACTACGGCACTCTCGTAAAACTCTGCGGCACGCGGGAACGTCGATTGGCTAATTTGCTTGGCGGAAACTGCGGTTTTTATTTTTACCACACACTCGACAACGATAAGCACCGGTCCGTCTGACACGTAATATCTTCAATAATTAAATAATTGCGAAAGAGAGAGATTCAGAGGCCGCGTTCTTCCCGAGATTATGCCGGGATATCGACGATAAAACGGGAATGTAACTAGCATCTTCCGATGTTCGTATAAATATTAAAATGTTTGATCACAATTATTAAAAATTATACGTCAGTATTTATCGGCGCCAATTGTTTATATTGATATGTTATTTATATTGACCTATTCCGTTGTCACTTGACACTAAAAGACGCAAATGAATCTAATAAAAATTAGACGGACAGTTTCTATAATGCGTATCTTTTAGCATTTTTCCATATTTAATGCATTTCATCATGCATGTCATGCAAAAACTTTCTAGTCAAGCATAACATTCAACAAACATTGCATAATGCATGCATTTTACATCGATTATTATAATGTATTATATGTGACGTTTTTTCGTGAGTTTTATCGATCTTTTGACTTTCTTTTCTATTTACTATTTTTTTATAGTTATTGTACGTAAATTTCTTATCTACATCAAATGCAATGTTGCGGGAAAAGTCTCATAAATCAAACGCAAATGTACAACTAATGACACATTTGCTATCAATTTGTATGTCTGATGAAACTTTTAATCATCATTACTCTAATAAAATAATAATTAGATAACAGATTACATTATTTTAATTACAGACAAAATAAATATTCAATTCTAATTATTTCTTTTATTTCTTTCTTTAAAACCTTTAATGATTTATATTTTTATAATTCTTTTCAACTATTTGAAAGATAAGAAAATTCTTAATTTCTTATTCAAAATTTCTTAAATTATGTTGAAATTTTCTTTTATAAGATTTTTAGCTTCACAGATAATAATAAAATAATAATAAACTTGAAATTTTAATCTTGAAAAAAGTTTAAACTTGAAAAAAGTATAAGAAATATTGCTCTTGAAATTTAGTAATTTATACATCTTGTAGATAATAGGTTGCATAAGAAATTATAATAGAAACTTTATTCTTATGAAAAATAGATTGTACTTTGACCAGCTGCTGATATATAACGGAAAATACGAGTAATGTTGCTATCAACAGAGAGTTACCAGGTAACGCATATTACTCATTCCTGGAAATTTGACTTTGCTCAAACCTGATAAAAGTAATAATGAGAATTTTATCATATCATTTCATGATATACAAAACAATATAACCTAAAGCAAACTTAATTTGCGCGATTAACATTATTTGTCTACATGTATTCTTTCTTATCAAACTATACACAGATAGTCCAGACCAAAAGTCATTATACAGACTTCAATGATAGGGTCTAAATAAAATCGAAAAGCAAAATTGAAAAATACGTAGCCAACAAATATGCTAAAAAAAATAATATTAAATATTAATAAATATTTTTCATATCTTTTTATGTATTACAGGCAATTAAAAAAACCACTGCAGTGGCAAAAAGAAACAGATTATCGGTCGGCCATGACAGGGAAACTCGTCGATCGTGCTCGTCCGACCGCCGCATCGGGGCGTCGCGACGCGGTGCAGATGCGAGTTCCGTCGTCGGCACGGCGACGCCAGGCGCCGCGACGCCGCCGTTTATCGCGACGGCGCGACAAGCAGCAGCGGCGGCGGAGGCAGCGGAGGCGGCGATGCGACCAGCGCCGGCGGCGGCGCACTGCGGGACTGATAGTCGTAATCATGCCACCCTGACCTCACGCACATTCCCGTAAGCACGGTGCGTGCGTCGACGTCGCAGGGGAAGATCTCTCGCGTATCCGCGACGAGCGGGAGGAGGTGGACGACGACAACGACGACGATTCCAACGACGACGACGAAGACGACAACCATCGCGACGACAACGACAACGACGGCGAGAACGGTATTCCTGACGAAA